TTTCCTGTTCCTATGACACCAACAAGATGCCATAATATGGACACTATTACAAAAAGAATCAACTGAATTAGCCTTATCCTCGAAAGACCGATGATTTCTTTCCAACCAAATGTGCCATAAGAGAGCTCTAAAGACATAAACCCACAATTCTTTACACTTACCATTGAAGCTCCACCCTTGAAAACATTCTTACAGCCGATCTTCAACCCGCTTGAGCAAAAAATTCTCAGAAACTGACCCCCACAGGGAAGTATTAAACCTAATAAGCTCCCAACATACTCTTTGGATCTCTCCACCCGCTAAAAGATCAATTGTTTCTCTCGAGCCAAATTTCCCGTAGCAAGGAACAAGTTTGCCACGAGAACCTACACCTATCCTGAAGGGAGGGGGAACAACACCTCCTCCATCATCACTCGACAATCCCTATTACGAGCCAACGACACCGCGAAGTAATAAAAAAGCGATCCCATAAATCCCACACAAACTGCTAGGACCAAAGGATGTGGTCTAGATCCTCCAAAGCTCCTCTGTAAAGCACACACCATTGCGAGCCCAAAAATAAAGAACACTTCTTGACTCAACCCAAGGTATTGACTTTACAAGGACTAGGAGTTATTCACTAGAGAAGAGCCCTTGATAGAACCTAAGGAAGACTGTCGTGAAAGGCATCTATTTAGGCAATCCACTGCACAAATATAGAGAAAGGGGAAGTGAGGGTCCCTTGGTGAATGCTGGATATGCTCAAGCCTAAATCCATTTTAGCGAAGCCCAAAACCTTTGGCTTGAAGGATGCATCCAGGTTACCCCAATCATCCTTGTTAAATGCTTTTCTGAGGTCAACTTCAAGACTATATTCTCCTTTTTTTTATCTTCCATTCATCAATAAATTCATTAGCAATAAGATAAGAATCAAAAATTTGTTTGTCAGAAACAAAAGTAAATCGATGTTTTGAGATAGTTTGGGGAAAGGCCTTTTTATGCCTTCTGGCATAGATACAAAAAGGATGAGAGTGATTGGTTTGGAATTATTCATTATTTTTACCTTGAGTTTCTTTGGAATAAGAAGGATACAAGTTTTGTTCAGCCTTGCAACGATAATACCATTCTTAATAAAATCATGGAACACTTTCAAGAGTCAGGCATGAGGATGTTTCCCATGAACTTTTTAAAAACTTAAATTGTGAAACCACCTGTCCCCGATAACTTGTGGTGCCCAGAGTGTAAATAGCATTGAGGATTTCGGATTTAGAAAAATCAACCTCAAGAAATGGGCTCGAAGGCTAGGGTGCAGGCCGAAAGTACTTTTGGGTGAGGGAATACGAATAATTTACAAGTCATACAAATTAATTATCTTTATAGTTTCTATTCACTAGTAATTTCTTCGTTAAAAACTCAAGGATAGTATAACTTAAAATACCAAAGTTACTGCGGGAAAAAAAGTGAAACTAAGAGTCTCATATCAATGTTAATTGTTTCATTACACAGTTGAATAACAAAAAGAAACATGTCTTTTTTAACAAGATACAAACTTTTCATTGAAAGTATGAAAAGGAATAAAAAAATTTCAAAGATACAGACCCCCGTAGGAGTGAGAGAAAACTTTTCTCACTTGCATTAGCATGTTATATAACACATGTTCTTTTATCTACAACTAAAAGAATTATGCCTCCACTGAATATCTTCTTTGTATTACATCTTATCATTTATAGGCCTCCAATCCAATAATAATAATAGTAACAAAAAGAAAAGGGGCAAGGCAAGGCCTACAATTCGCTGGAAATAAAGGATCAAGTACCTGAAGATTCACAATTATAATCTTTCCCCCACCACGAAGTGATTTCAGAGGAAGGTTGCATGCTGGAGTGATCTGCAAACTGCACATAGTAATCATACCATATGACCATCAAAAAAAAAATTCCAACAAATTCATAGTAGGCACAAAAAGGGCTTTACAGACATCCAAATAATAGTAGTAATTACATTTTTTTTTATGAGAAATTGTACTTTCATTGAGAGAAATGAAAAAAGAAGGTACACAAAAAGGGCATACAAAAAAAAACAGCCCGGCAAAGGGAACCCTTATAAGAATGGGCTCCAATCCAAAAGAATAAGTTCTAGCGGATAATTTCAAAAGGCTTAGTGGCCCCATAAAGAAGTATTAAACCTAATGAGGTCCCAAACATAATCCACAAATTTCTCCACAGCCCTAAACAGCCTATCTTTCCTCTCCAGCCAGATACCCCATAAAGTAGCCAGAAAGCACGCTTGTCAAAGAAAACGGCCTCTGTCACGAAAGGGGGAAATACCAACACTTCCTCCATCATCGCTCTGCAATCTCTGGAGCGAACCCAAGCAATACCAAAACCTCTAAAAAACGACACCATAACTCCTGCACAAACTAACAGAAGCACAACAAATGCTCAAGATCTTCTGCGGCATTCCTACACAGAACACACCACTGCGGGCCCAGGCAAAAGGAAGACATAATTTGAATCCAATCCAAGGTATTGACTTTACCAAGTAATACTTGCCACCCAAAGAGGTAAACCAAGGGGTCACCGGGGACGGAGAAGAGAAGGAAGAATGAGAAGACAAAGAAGAAGAAGATGGGGAAACCAGGACATGGAAAAAAGAGCTACAAGAAAAACCTTTCGAGGGGTTGGGAATCCACACCCTCACGTCTTCCCTCCCAAAGGATAAGGAAACACTAGACAACAGATCGAGTAACACGGCAACCTCTAACGATTCCCTATCAGTTAAAGACCGAGAGAGCCGCGGAGAAATGGACGATTCCTCTTCCCCAAAATTCAACACCTTGGCCACAAAAAGGAGTTTCTTTTTAGACAGAAAGTAGATCCGAGGGAATGCAAGACTCAAGGGTTTATTGCCTACCCAAGTATCCTTCCAAAAGTAAGTATTAAGACCCTTTCCCACAGAGACACGAAGAGAATGAGAGAAAACGGGGAAACACAAAGCAATAGCCTTCCAGGGATTGAAGTTGCTCACCTAAGACACGCCTGTTGGAATCCAGTCAAACGGATGTCGCCCATACTTACTCATAATAATCTTTCGCCACAAGGCGTTACATTGTGAAAAAAAAAAAAAAAAAAAAAAGTTCCTTTGCATTTTGAAACCATGTTTTTTTTTTTAACAAAATACGCATTTTGAAATCATGTTGAACAATATAATATTGTAAATCACCTGAAATTCTTCAAATGACTTCAGGAATTAGCCACCAACCAATTGCTAGTCAGTAAAATTACATCCATGAGAACAATCTCTATTCATGGACTTTATCAACATAGTCAGAGATCAAATTTAAAAAAAAATAGAAATAGAGAAAAAGAAAAAAGAGTTAATTTTCATGACATGGGCACATGCTTATTTCAGCAAACAAAGTAGTTAGAACCAGCTTTTCTGTTTAAAATGAGTAACGACCACATTAACAATTAAAAAAAACGGCATTCCATAGCAAGAGATGCTCTACTACCTTGTCCCTAGACATAACACAACGTCAGCCATCTTGCAGTGCCTTTCAGCTGGATTCATCTCCTTTGGAGGCAATGCATCCTGCATTTATACAGAGGTCAGATGTCATCAACCATTTGTCACAGTATAAATCTAATTCCTCACGGCTTGGAAAAAAGTTATCTAGTAAGGTTGACCCCGTTGGACATTAATGCATCAATTCCGTCATGTAGGACGTTTTAGGATACCAACACGTGTGAGACATTAACATTACCTCCAAGAAATGTGGACCAGAAACACATCCCTCCAATTTCAGAACATCCCAATCACAAAATTCATTCTTAATCATGAACATAGACTTGCAACATTCTCGCCATACAAGAAATCTCAAATTTTCCTTTACATTATCTAACCCACATAAAATGCTAACATTTTTAACGTGCTCTTATTATTTAAATCAATTCAAAAGAAATATAAGAGCACGTATTAAAAATAAAATAAAAAAATAAACCCATAAATATGCTGGGATATATAAAACGTTAGTAGCATGCTTGCAAAAAATAGAAATTTACAGCTAAATGGTAATTTTAAGATGTACCTTATGCACGTACTTCTTATATTATAAACAATTTATAGGAATTCCTGAAAATGTATATAGTAGACAAAACTACCAAAGAACATAGCAAGATCATGTGAATAAATAGATTTCCTAATTGGTTACTGCATGGATGTTTGTTTAGCCACCATAATACTTTCTTCTTTTCTTAAGAAACGGAATATATTCAGCAAAGCCAAAAGGGTAACAGCCTAACACCCGAGCATACAAAGAACCCCGACCTAGAAACCAATATTACATGAAACATCTCCAATCACGGTTGATTAGAAAACAATTGTGATTACAAAAGAATTTATTGTGGAGGGCACTCCCAAAATAGGTCATGCATACTGCACCAGATCCAAAGAAAGGCAAAAGCTACCAAAGACTTCTCTCTATCTTGAAAAATCTTCTGGTTTCTTTCTAGCCACAACAGCCCATACGTATCATTGATCACCTTCATCCAAAGGGCAGTTTCCTGTGAATAAATTCTCCAAAGCCACTTGAGAAGTAATGCATTGTTTCTTTCTCTAACAGTACCTAATTTGACCACCAAAGATTGGGAAGGGCATTCCATTTCCAGCCCACTAGGTGGCTTTCAAGTTCCAAGCCAGTTCCATTCCCACTAGTGATCTTTTCCATAGCTTTGGTCACTTTCCTTGGAACTTTTTTTTTTTTTATATCTATGAGTGTCCGAGCCAGCTTACGCGCACCTCAATTAATCTCGCGGGACAAGACAACCACTTGACCCTACGACATTTGGTGTCCGGAAACACGTAGGAATTACTAATTCCTAAGGTAGGTGGCCATCATAGGATTTGGACCCATTCCCAACCCTAGTTGCAAAAAAAAATTCTTTTTTATAAGAAACAACACTTTCACTGAAAAAAATGAAAAGAGATACGAGAAGCACAAAAGAGGCCTACAAAAAACAACCTAGAGAGAAGGAGACCGTTAAAGAAATGGACTCCAATCCAAAAGAATGAGGCCTAACGGATAATTACAAAATGCCTTAGAAGCAGAGCCCCATAAAGAAGTGTTAAATCTAATGAGATCCCAAACATAGTCAACAGATCTCTCCACCTCCCTAAACAGCCTATTATTTCTCTCTAACCAAATACCCCAAATAGAAGCCAAAAAACAGGCCTGGCACAAAAAACGACCCCGGTCACGAAAAGGGGGGTGTAACAGTACCTCCTCCATCATTGTTCTTCATACAGCACTTTAGATCTAAGAATGAGTTGAGGTAGGACCAATCTACTCTACTTTATCATCAGTCTTTCCAAAGTCCACTTTTAAAATGAAGCCAGTTTTGTTCAAGGACCTACTCTCCCCATTGCTTCAAAAGCAATAAAAGAGATATCTAGAAGTTAACCACCTTTCATGAAGGCTAGTTGAAAATCGTACGTTAAAAGAGGCAGGACTTCCTTAAGTTGGTCGGCTAGAACCTTTGCTATAATCTTGTAGCAATAATCTTGTAGAAAGAACTGACCAAGTTAATAGGTTTGAAGTCATTTATCTTAGAAGCTCTGGTCTTCTTTGGAATTAGACAAATATAAGTCTCGTATGTATGGTTATTGAATTATTAGTTTTTGAACGACTCTTGAACTCCCAAAGAAGCTGGAATGGGGATCCCTAGAAAGTGAGTCTTTGACGACCATTGGATGTATGAAGATTTTGGGAGAAAACAGGCACTTCCACCTCAATTTCCAAACCAAGTTGCCATGGAAAGGAAAGGCCACAGTTTTAAGTAGCTTTCCATTTGTACCATAGCCCACGTTTTTGTGGAAGCTGAAAACAAAACAAAACACAGAAAAAGACTCGTGATTGTTGCCTTTCAACATTTTCAGATGATAAAACAACAAAAAATAGGATTTACCTTTTAAGTGCTCTATTTCAACTCATTATAGGAGTCCAGTAAACAACAAGCTACTGTTTTAAACTTAACATGAGAGCTCAAACCAAAAGAAAGAAAGCAACATTGTAAGGAAAAAAGAACATGGATAACATGACCACCAAAGAGATAATAATTCCAGTAGACTAGGAATACTAAAAATATTAACTAGCTCAAACCAATCATTGAAAAAACATAAAATATGAAGGCATGGTGAATGGACTAAAATTAGTAACTAGCTAAACTTTATTCTCTATAGACATATCAAAAAGAGAAACACAAAACAGCCGACAAGAAAATAAGTACCTCCCAGTCGAGAACTGTATCCCTTAGTTTAGCTCCACAATTCGCATCAGAACATCTCCGTGAAGTGTCTTTCAATCCAATAGTTTCTACTTCGAAATCCCTCAAATACCTTTATAATGATATTAGAGTAAGATATCTGACAGGTAAGAAAAGAACACTCACTTAAAAATAGGGGTGAACAATAAATTCCAAAAAACCGACCCGACCAAAACAAGATCCGTCGATCTAATGAATGGTTTGCTTGGCATCAGTTTTCTAAAATAAAAAACTGACAAGTCAATCGGTCAGTTTAGTACAAAAAGTGACTTCTAACTAACCAACC